AGAATAAGGTGGCCAAGGAAATAAACCCAGTGTTGGCAGTAACGATGGATTCCATTCTGTAGGTGTCTGTGCAAGCAAGTTTGATAAACCAAGGAAGGTCACAGTAAAAGCTATCTATCTCATTAGGACCACAGAAAGGCAAATGAACAACAAAAGCTATCTGGACCCCTGAGTGAATGAGGCCTATAACCCAAGCACCAGAAACAAACAAAATGCACATTTGTGGGCTCATGACAGTCAGGTAGTGGAGGGGCTTACATATAGCCACATATCTATCAAAGGCCATGGCAATGAGCAGCACCATCTCAGATCCCCCCAGGGTGTGAAGGACAAACATCTGGATGACACATCCCTGGAAGGTTATGGTTTTGTGCCCAGAGTATAAATCAGATATCATCTTAGGAACTGCTAAAGTTGAAAGACAGAAATCAATCAATGAGAGGTTGGCTAAAAAGAAGTACATGGGGGAATGTAAATGACAGTCGAAAGTCACTGTAAGCACAACAAGAAGGTTTCCTAGAACAATTGTTACATAAAACACTGTAGAGAAGGCCAGGAGGAAATGCTGCACTGGTTTGTAGGTAGAAAGTCCCAGGAACACAAATTGAGACACTTCAGAATAATTTGCTTTATTCATTGACTTTGTGTTACCTGAAAAACAAATAAAAATAATTATAAAAGAATACACCAGAGATATTGAAAGAAGAGGTGTTACTGGGTTTGAAATTCTGATATTAAAGAGAAATCTTCACTACCCATCACAAAAATCCTTTGAAAAGTCATACAATAGTTTATTAATTTAACATGTATTCACTGAGCAACTACCAGGTAGGCCTTCTAGAATACTTGCATTGTGCCACATTCTAGAATAAAACAAACACCCTATCTTTCTGTAGTTTGTAGTCTAGTTGTGAAGCTAGGCATTAAATGACTAATTGTATAATTAGATGATAATAACAACTTCAAGTAATGCAAATGCTTAAATAATTATATAAAATTTGGGGGGTTTTCTAAAGGCACCACTTTATAATATTTAGAATAGATAATTTATTATGAGGTTACATTCAATTATCACAGTACAGTGGGGCCTTGACTTACGAGTGTCCCGACTAACGAGTTTTTTGAGATACCAGCTGTCTCTCGGCCAATTTTTTGCTTTGAGTTGACAGAGTAATTTGAGTTAACGAGCTCCTTAACAAGCTCGGTCTCGGAATGAATTAAACTCGTAAGTCAAGGCCCCACTGTATCTCTTTTATAAGCAAGTTGTCTAGCAAATGAATTAAAGTCCCAGAACTTATTTGGGACTAACTTAAAGGTAGTAACTTATTTGGAAAAAAAACACACACAAAGGGCTATGCAAACTATAAGAAGTTAAATAAGTGAAGAAGGATAGGAAGAGTGATCTATCCAGGGGAAAGGCCATGGGAAATATTCTGAAACATGAAGAAACAGATCAATTTGGAATAAATAAAAGACCTGTAAGGGTCTGATCAAAGTAGAATCAAATAGGGTGTGTGAAGAATTTGGTCTATATCTTAGAAGTGATAGAAAGCAATTAAGGCAGAACAATGAAATAATCATATTGTTGCTTTAAAAAGGTTAGAGTAACTGAAAAATAAAGAATGTAATAGAGGGATCAGAGGAAAGAGTGAGAGACCAATTAGAAGACTGTCAAAGGATCACATTAAATAAGTACAGAAAGGATAAACTTGTTAATAAATGGTGTTGGCACAACTTACCAAACTTGGAAAAAATAGGTTGAATTCCTTCCTTTACAACAGTAACTAAAGTAAATTTTAATGGATCCTATATAATAAAAGGCTAATATGCAAATTGATCGAACAGTGGAACAACCAGTCGCTATGATGTGCACTGACCACCAGGGGGCAGACGCTCAATGAAGGAGTTTCCCCCTGGTGATCAGTGCACTCCTACAGGGAGAGCGCTGCTCAGCCAGAGGCCGGGCTCACGGCTGGTGAGCACAGTGCTAAGGATGTCAGTCGGACATCCCCTGAGGGCTCCCTGACTGTGAGAGAGCACAGGCCAAGCTGAGGCTCCCTCCCCCAACCCCCAGTGCACAAATTTTATGCACTGGGCCTCTAGTATTTAAATAAAAATAAAAGAAATAGGAAATATGAACTTATTTTTAGATACTCCTTTGTAGGAGAAAACTCTTTCTAAGCATATCCTAACATGTGCAAATCATGCATGAAAACACTGACATTTTCAGATTCAAAATTTAAATTTTCTATATAATTTTTTAAAAGAAAAAATTAAAGGTGGGAAAATAGTTGTTAAATATAATGATAAGCCAAATTTAAAATGAACAAACACAAAAACTTGGACCAAATAAGAAATCTAAATAGTCAACGTCTGAAGAACAGAGTCATTATTAAAGAAATGTAAATAAAACAATATATAATTACTATATTGAGTTAAAAATTAATAATATGAGTGAGGCTGTGAAGAAAGAGACTCTCTCATACTATAGGATTCAGAGTACACATATCATACATCTTTTCCAGAATACAATTTGAAAATATATATATCAAATATTTAAAACTTCCCTTATGACTAAAGACTCCCATTAAGTAAGTTTTTCTTAATGTATAACAAAAAATGAGCTAAAATATTTAGCTATTATGGCAAATGTTATACAATTACTTATAAAAAGGAAAAATTTGAATATAACCTAAATTAAATTAATGAGGAACTGTTACAATAATACATTCAACTGGGATATACACATAACCTTATATATAGAAATTCTTATGCATGATTGGTGAGAGTGAGAATTAATAATGTTTATTAGAATTTAAAATGTTTAAATCTATGCAATAACAAGCATACAGGGGCTCCTAACACTAAACAAAGGATTAAATTCATGGAGGAAATATTATAAGCAAAAGGAAATCCCAGTTTAATTACACAGTGTTGATATATATTTTCATATGTTCATCATCCTATTATTCTATAACAATAGCAAATAGTTATAAATAACCAAATTATAAATGAATACGGAATTTTAAGTCAAATTATAATGTAGCTATATCATCAGCTATTATGTAGCTATTAAAAATAATAGTATAGTTCTACATAACAGAGACCTAACTGTGAAAAATATCACTTTAGTATGATTCTGTGCATATACCCCTAAAACATCTTAAAAGCCTAATTTTTGCCCAGCTGGTGTGGTTCAGTGGTTGAGTGTCAACCTATGAACCAGGAGGCCACAGTTAGATTCCCAGTCAGGGCATATGCCCAGGTTGCAGGCTTGATCCCCAGTAGGGGTTGTGCAGGAGGCAGCCAATCAATGATTCTCTCTCATCATTTTTGTTTCTCTCTCACCCTCTGCCTTCCTCTCTGAAATCAATTTTAAAAATTAAAATGCCCAATTTTTAAGAATTATTAACATAGTAAAATGTGATTGATTATACATGATTTGAACTTCTTCCTAAAATCCTTATTTCTGCATTATAGATGTCTTTTACAAATAATCAACACTTGTTAATAAAGATTTTGGATCTTTTAAAATACAAATGTGAAAATTTGAGATGTTGCAGGACGTTAAATGAAATAGTAAAATGAAATGAAATTTTACGAGTAGATGAATTATAACTTCTATATTTTTAACACCATCTTTTTCTAGAGAGGTGTGTGTGTGTGTGTGTGTGTGTGTGTGTGTGTGTGTGTGTGTAAGGATAGAGATGGGTGGGAAAAGAGAAAAGGGGAGAGAAGTGACAGAATAAAAACAGGAGAAAAGAGAAATAAGCAATTCAGAGAGTAAAAGAAAAAGAAGTCTCTCACAGAGACTTCTGTGAGAGTTGCAGTCCTGCTTAAACTCCTTCGAGTTTACTCCTTCACAAAGTTTAGGCTCCTTCAAAGAGGTGATTATCTATCCTCTGTCTATTCCTAGCCTCACATCTAGATTTCCACTATCCCCACAAAATATCCTTCAACTTTCTTGAACTGCTTGGATAACCCTGTTTTTGTTAAATGTTTGCTTGCTTACTTGCTTGTGTGCCTGCAAACTGAACTGAATGCTTTTAGTTCTGCTGTTTCTCACCTCTAAATACAATTCATGCATCACTTCCTCAAGTACAGCTTCCTCTTTCTTCCAACTGCAATTTACTTTATTTCTTTATTTTCTCATGTTATGGTGTACAAGCATAATACTTGTGATGCTACTTTATAATTGACTAGAGGCCCAGTGCACAAAAATTTGTGCACTCAGGGGGGTCCTTCAGCCTGGCCTGTGCCCTCTCACAGTCTGGGACCCCTTGGGGGATGTCCACCTGCTGGCTTAGGCCTACTCCCTGGGGGATCAGGCTTAAGCTGGCAGTCAGACATCCCTCTGGCAGCCCGGGAGCCCTCAGCAGGGAGCAGGCCTAAGCTGCAGTCAGACATCCTTAGTGCAGCTGAGGAGGCAGGAGAGGCTCCCACCACCACTGCTGTGCTGGCAGCCTGCAGCCTGGCTTGTGGTTGAGCAGAGCTCCCCCTGTGGGAGCGCACTGACCACCAGGGGGCAGCTCCTGCATTGAGCGTCTGCCCCCTGGTGGTCAGTGTGTGTCATAGTGACCAGTCATTCCCACTCGTTCTGCTGTTAGGGCCAATTTGCATATTACCCTTTTATTATATAGGATATTTGACCATCCTGTATGTCACTCCTAACATATCTTTGAGTTCTCTAAGGATAGATAGTATCTCATTAACAAATTCTGGCCCATAGTAAGTGTTTAATTAATATTTATGAGTAATGATGGATAATCTTATGATAATAGTTTCTTGGTATGTAAGATTTATCATATAGTTTTTATCCTGTCCATAGAATAACTAACTATATTATCAATAAAAAAATTTGTTTTAGCCATTCTGACCAGTCTGAGGTGATATCCAATTGTGGTTTTAATTTGCATTCTCTGATGATTAGTGATGTTGAGCATCTTTTCATATGTCGTTTAGCCATCTGTATGTTCTCTTTGGAGAAGGGTCTATGCAGGTCCTTTGCCTATTTTTTAATTGGATCATTTATTTTCTTAGTGTTGAGTTGTATAAGTTCTTTTTTTTTCATTGTTGAGACTATTACAGACGTCTCCCATTATCCCAGCTTTGCTCACCTCCACCCAGCCCCTGCCTCCCCTTTCCCTGGCCTTCAGCACACTGTTGTCTGTCTCCATTGGCTATGCATATATATGTTCTTTGGCTAATCTCTTCAATTTATTTTATTCAGTCTTTTATAAATTTTGGAAATTAATCCTTTATCAGATGTATCATTGGTGAATATGTTCTCCCATTCAGTGGGTTGTCTTTTCCTTTTGTTGATGGTTTCCTTTGCTGTGCAAAAACCTTTTAGTTTGATGCAGTCTCATTTGTTTATTCTTGCCTTTGCACCATCATGGGTGGACCTGGAGAGTATTGTGCTAAATGAAATAAGCCAGTCAGAGAAAGACAAATACCATATTTCACTTCTGTATGTAATGTAATGAACAAAATAAACTAACAAATAAAATAGGAACAGGCTCATAGATACAGAGAACAGATGCACAGCTGTCAAGGGGAGGTAGTTGGGGGACTGGGTGAAAAAGGTGAAGGGATTAAGCAAACACACATGCACACACAGACACAAATAAAGGTATG